AAATATTAATAAAAAAAATAAACATTTTTCACAAATAAACATCAGATATTAATGCAAGAAATGTTTGAAAATGAGACAAGCATTGTTGTCGTGGTTGATAAGTATTAGAGTCATTTATTCAGACTAGGCTCTTTAGGCTACTATTCTTTTTAGCAGTTTCACATCATTAGATGCTGCTACTCATCGATTTCAACGTTTAATCAATTGCATAATAAATGAGCCAACTCTCATTGTAAGATATATATATACATATATACATATATATATTCAGCAGCCAAGCATTTGTTTTGATATTAACATTATTGTTAATGCTCAATATATGATATGTTATCAAACCAGGATTATATAATCCAGAATAAATATATATTACATTTCGCAAATACCTACTTTTTATTTAATCATAATTTTACTAACAATGCATATATATATATATTTTAAAATGATAAAAAAAGTGTTGCAGTATTTTGTAAATTAGCTACCAAAAGACATTGAGAGAAATTTTGTAGCACTCAAAAATTTTCAATTTTCATTTAAAACAATCTTTACAGATTTGAGCAAAAAAAACAATTTGCATTGATGAAGAAGCTATAAAGAATTGTAAAATTTATAAAAAAAAAAAACAACAAATTACAATACAATGATACAAATGTATAAATTTGTCAAAAATATCAAAATTTAATATTTTCTTAAGAATAGAAAAAAAAAAAAAAAAAGAGACGAGGCATATTAAAAGATTACAAGAAATAAGTCAAAGGTATAAATTATGAAGGCATCACACATCTTGATAGAATCATCAACGATCATCTGAAAAAAATAAACAAAATTTTTTCCTTAATTTCAATTTAAATATAATTAAATTATATAAGTTTTAATCAGAAATTCAACAAAAAAAAAAAATAAAACTTTAAAAACTACAAATCATCAATTTGTCAATTTAAGTGTAAATTTAACAATTTAAATCAAATACTGCTAAATAATAATTCAACGAAGTAAAAAAAGAAAAATTGCGAATACTAACAAATAAATGATGTACTAATAAAACAAATTAATTCCACAAGAATTATAATTATTCCATTTCGCTTTTTGATAATTGTTGTAAAATTTTAAAAATATTTAGATTCATTTTTTTTTTTCAATCAAAAATGTTGTCAAACAAATGATAGAAGAAATGCAAATTTACCTGAATTAATCGTCAAATGTTCACCTTTTCGAATATTCATAACAATATCTCTTTCAGTTATCATATCATCTGTACGTAATGATAAGTGTGTTCCAAGTTTATGATCATCATGAGTTATTTCAAACGGTGTTTCATCAGCATCATGATTATGCATATGTCGTCGTAATGTATGCACCATAGAAATCTTAAAATTTTCAAAATAATCCTTATTTAAAAATAATTTTTAAAAAAAATTTATTAAATAAAAAATTAAAAAATATTGAAATTTTTCTTTTCTTTTTATCATAAATCCATCAGTACACAAAAAAAAAAAAAAAAAAAAAAAGCGAATAAAGAATAAGGAAGGGAAAATGATAAAATGATAAGCACTAAAGAATGATTCATTTAAATAAAGAAAAGAAAAAACAAAAAGTGGATTTGATAAAAAATTACTTTTTTTTTGTCAAAAAAAATAATTAAATTCAATTATTAATATTTGAAATATATAACTGAAACTATGAATTTAAGTCTTTTTTTTTTCTTTTTTAGAAAAAAATTGGAATTAAAATAACTTACTGATATACAACAAACAAGAATTATTAAATGAATGTTG